ATCTGACTGGATGATCTGGTGAACTGGAAAGTGACCTGAGATGACATGATGGGAATTGGCGCCATAGAAATAAACTGATTGAATTGAAACTGAATTGTGACTCATGTTTCTGATTACAGATGGCGGCTCTCCTCCATCTGGGTCAAATATGGTAAAAGACAAAACACCAAATATCAAACAAAGATCAAATCTAACATTTCCTGAACTTACTGGGATTTTCTTTTTCACAGGTTGGTGTTCTGCTGCTGATGCTCTACTTCCTTGGAAACATTTCTTTTCTAGTGGCTCTATTAACTGGAATTGGAAAAATGTCATTTTCATAAACAGCTGAATCTGTTTTCTTTTCTTGAATAATTACCTCAAATATTTAGATTTTGTTATGATTTAAGGAAACTTAATTGGCCTGCTCTGTTTCAGGTTTAATAATAAATAGTTAAATATGATGTATATCAGCAGTGCGTCATCGAATCCTTCAACAGGAAAAAGGAACATCTCTCCACCCTCCATTGATAGGATCTTTGGTTTTCTCCTTATATTTTCTGTTCAATGATTTTGTAAACATCTCACTTGAAACTTAATTTAATTAGATGCACACTTTTATTTGAATACAGGCAAACTTCTTTATTCAAAGGACAGTTTGCAACCTAAGGTTTGATGCAGATCATTAAGAAAAAAGAATTCAGTCCAGGTTTTAACAAGAACCACTTGGAATGTATTTAATATGTTCCATGGCAGAATACCGTATGTTTTTAAAGTTTAATTTGATTAATAGTTTTTTTTTTTTTTTAATAAAAGTATCCTAATATATCAAATAAATGAATTTTAAATAAAAAGAAGTAAGGCTAAGGTTTAAATCTGAATGATTCTTTAAGTGTCAGTTTTATTTCTGAGATTTTAATCAGTTCTTCAGGTGAATGTATTCAGGGTGTCGATGGGCTCCCCCTGCTGGTTGGAGGAAGTCGGATCTGGTCTAATCTTGGGTTTACTGAACCTCATTGTGTTTTGGTGGAATCCAAAAAGTGCTTCTGTTCTTGTGTGATTTTCTGTGTTTTGCTTAAAGAGTCGCTTCGACAGACGCTGCACTCGTCAAGGCATTCAATAAGATCTGAATAAATGCAGACTGTGGAAGAACCAGAGCGCTGGTATTACTGGACCTCAGTGCAGCGTTTCAAACCGTGATTTTGATTTAATTGGAGCGTCTGTAAAAGTGGGTCGACCTTTCCGATACAGCACTGGAATAGTTAAAATCCTACCTGAAGGACAGGGACTTCTAGTGTCGATAAGGAACTTTAAATCAGAAACCAGAAAATTCATGTGGCGTCCCCCAAGGATCCATCTTAAGTTCCCTCCTATTTAAAGGTATAGAGCACAGGTGGGCAATTCCATTTCATGGGGGCCGGTATCCTAGAACTCCTAGGTCCATCCTTGGTCCAACACACCTGAATCAAATGGCTGAGTTACTACCGAATGCAGTCGGTTCCATCATTCCTCTCATTTAATTTCTTGATTCAGAACATCATTTATTTCTGTTGTCTAACTGTGGTAGTTGTGGTCCCCTGGCTCCAGCTGCAGTTGCCATGCTGCTCTGGCTGGGATGCGGGGTTAAATAATGGGGTGAATGTCTGCGCTGGTTCTCAGGTCATCCTGAGGCCTGACAGGCCGAGCATCAGACCGTTCTAACAAAGAACCACAGATGATACGAGTAGCAGCATCCGTTTGGTTTCACTTCAGGTTTAATAAAGTTGAGATCATCTGAATTAACTGCCAATAAACTAAAAAAAACAACAACAAATCTAAGAAAGATTCAACTTCTTTATTAGATTAAAAAAAAACAAAAAAAAAAATCGTATTTCATTGGATGACATCACTGCTGACATCATTCGGACAGCCAGAGTTTGAAGGTTCGGTCGTAAGAGCAGGTGGCGATCAGCTTCCCATCAGGTGACATGTCCACGCCCATCACCTGCAAACAACCATTAATCCAGGGTTTCAGAGCCAATCAGGGTTCAGCCCTCAGGCGGACCAATCAGAACGTAGAGCCATCCTACCTTCCCCTCATGTCCTGCCAGCGTCTTCAGCGGCATCCAGCCCGGGTGGCTCCAGACCTTCGCCGTGTTGTCGTAAGCTCCGGTCAACAGAAAGTGACCGTCTGTGGCTGCACAGGAAGTGAGGTCAGAGATACAAGAATTGAGGTCACAGACACAGGAAGTGGGGGGTCATACTGAGGAGGAAGGTTCTGTTTTTGTTTACGTTGGAAGCGGACGGCTGACAGCAGGTTCTGGTGGGCGGGGACAGTGTACAGACACTTCCTGTTGCGCAGCTCCCAAACCTTACAGGTGTTGTCACCACTTCCTGTGGCCAGGTGGTGGCTGCAAAATAAAAAAAAAACAAGGTCTGGTTTAGACTCAGGTTCTACAGAGAACTACGGTTCTGAGAATGACGAGAAAACCCACAAAGATCCCAGTTAAACTTTAACAATCAAGTCTTTAGGAAATTAAACTGTCAGCAGGGACAGAGAGCCTCTCTGATTGGCTGGAATGTCCCAACTTCCATCTGATTGGCTGATATGCCTCAACTTTCCTCTGATTGGCTGATATGCCTCAACTTTCCTCTGATTGG